GGAGGGGGCAGCACCGGTAGTTTTCTGGAGGCAGGGAGATCGGCAGAGATGGAAGGGTGCGCTAGTGCGTGAGACAGCGAGAGAGAGACAACAGTGAGAGAGGGGCGGTGCTGAGCAGAGGAAAGCGGCGCCGAGATGGAGAGGGCGGCGCTAGGGTTTTGGGGACGGGGGTTACGAGGCTAGGCTCCGATACCATGAAGAAATATTATTTTCACTATTGAACAAGGAGAACAAGGCTCCGTATATATAGTTACAACAAGGGTGTAAAGAGTAAATAAGTAAACTTATACATAAGGAAAGCTACCATATATACAGGATACTATATTAAATATATAATATATTTAACATCGTGAAAAATTAAATAGGGAGAACATTTCCGGATGGAGGAAGTACTGCACTATAATTGAGTCAATATATATCACTCAAAAGAAGTTATAATGATCCGATCTCGTTTAATTTTAATCAGTGTAAAAGAAATTTTGATTTGATCTAAATAAAGTGATTCTAATTATAGTTGAAGCTAGACAACCTTTACTATTCTGATATAATAATCTCATTCTAGTTAAAGTAAAAGTCATTTCTAAGTTGATATTATTTTTTTAATTTGACATCAACATATTTAATCTTGATTCTAATAAAAGAAATAATAAGCAGTAAATTTAAAAAATAAGAAATGAGCTCCATTAAATAATTACACTGTCCAATTATTTTTTAAAAATAATGAGCTCCATCTTGAGTAGAAGGAACAAATTAAATTTAAAAGTAATTACACTGTCCAATTATTTTTGTCTAATTAAATATTTGTAGAGGTAAACTAAATTATCTTTGTATGCATAATTTAATCCATCATTTTATTTAAGTTTAAATAAATAAATTTTACAGGATATTATTAAATTTTAAAAGAATATTTAAACAAGATTTCATTAAAAAATTCAGTGGGCAAAAACAAAATACTCCACAAGATAAAAACGAAGAGAGAACTACTCCATGTTTTACCATCTCCCATAAACATTTTACCCACGTGCTAGCAATGATATAATTAACGAGTGCTTACTTTGATGGTAAAACTCTCCACATTTGAGGGAAGAATGAGACTTTGGGGTGCATTCAATTAGGAATTTGATGATTTTTTTTGGATTTTAAAAGTCAACATGTTTTCAATTGAGAATGGACACCATATTCCCTGCTCGAATCGGAATCAATATTTCAAGAATCGGTTTGATAACGATACGGACGAAATGAAGAATGGTGTAGAGATATCATACTGGAACCAGATGAAATAGGAGTCGAGACTGGTTCCGGTTCCCAAATTTAACGTACTAGACTCTCGATTCTGATACACGGTATCGATTTTCATTATTTTATTCAATAATACTCGCATATTATTTATAAATTAATATACTCTCTTCGTTCCATAAAACTCTTCACAATTGAAAAAAAGACATATTCTTAAAATGAGTAATTTTGGTGTGATTTTCTAATTTTGCCATTACTTTATAATAGAGTATGATGAGATGTGTAGAATAGATGCATTGAGTCATGGTTAAAAAATAACACCAAAATTACCCATTTAGAGACGTGCCTTTTTTGAAACATGAAAGGTTTACGAGACGGAGGGAGTACATTATATACGTTTTATACTCCATCCGTTTCTTAAAACCCTTTCTCTTTCATTTTTTTGTTTTCCTTAAAACACTTCATTTTTCCATTAAAAAAGCACTTTTACCCCTACTTTTTCATACACTACCTATCACATCATACTTTTTCACTAATAACTAAACTATCATATCTTACTTTTACCCATCATATCAGGGGCAAAATTGGAAAGTCAATTAAAATTACACTTTCCTTATTTTGCTCCAAAGTTAAAACAAGAAACGTTTTAAAAAACGGAGAGAGTATTAATATACTCGGTATATTATTCGTATTTGAAATAAAACCCTAATATATAATACACGGAGTACGTACATTTCATGTTCAAAAATTTAAATAATTTAATACTCCTATGAATTAAAAATTTTATATTAACTTTTTTCAAAATGAAGAAAAATTATAAAAAATGAAAATGGTATCGAGAACTGCCCGAGAATTTGATCGAGTGTGCCGGAATCGTCCTCCACCGTACTAGTTCCACCTAACTAAAAGGGTACCTGATACTGGTGGTTCCAAACCAATTTGAACAAGTGTCATAATATGACACTAAAACATGATGCAACTATTATTTACTCCCTCCGTCCCTAAATGATGGATATTTTTGTGTTGACTTTCCAAAAATACTCTTGATGTGATGTGTAAAAGTAAGATGTGATATATAGATTATTAGTAAAAAAGTATGATGTGATAGGTAGGATATGAAAAAGTAAGGGGTAAAAGGGGGTTTTTAAGAAAAAAAAGACGTTTATTTGGAGACAAAGAAAAAACAAAAGGGAAAATTTATTTAGGTACGGAAGTCTTAATCTCTATCTTTTCCATTTATAACTTTAATTATGGCCCGGAGGAAGGAGTAAACTTACATGGAAGAAGCTTCTATTGAAGAGATAAAAAAAATCATCTTAAAATTTCTGTTTCTCTCAAATGTAATCTGAGTATTATTGCAGACTAGAGTTTTTCCTTGACATGAGTTTTTAATATAATGGGAACCTCTCCGGTTAGCAGGGTGGTCTGTAATATCATGTGATGACCCGGAGGCACTACAATGTCTCGTTTGTAATATTGACAGTTCCTACCCCTCCTAATCCTTGGGTAAATCCCCACCCCGCCCCGATATGAACACACTACCCCACCCCCTCCTCCCCACACCCTCTTCAATTGCACTCTCAACTTAATTTTGACTTAGAAATTTATCCATACTCAATCTCTCTTAAAATAAAAATTAAAAAGAGTAAATTTCATAAAAGGTCTCCAATTATAGGTAGTTTTACATATTTAGTCCCTACATATCAAATACGAAGTATTACTAATTTAGTCCCCAATTATTACATCATTTTTCACGAATGGTCCTTTGTTAACGTTTTTGTTAAGAACATGGATAAAATTGTATATTCATACTTCTCTATCTTCTCAATTAAGCTTTCTCCCTCCTCTCGTACTCTTTCCCAAACTCGTCGCTGAGTTTGAAGCTCTAAACCCAAAACTGAAATGATCATTCCTCTCTCAATTATTAGTCTTCCTGTTGGAACCTAAAATCAAACCAATAAGCTTTATGGATGAGTTTTATCGGTTAGTCTCTAGAAATTGCAAAGAAAATAAACATTAAAACTCATCCAGGAAGGTTACTGGTTTCGAATTTGGGTTCTACCAGTTAGACAAACACTTGAGAAAAGAGTGATGATTTCGGTTTTGGGTTCAAAGTTTCAAACTTAGCGACAGATTTGAGAAAGGAGTGTGAGAGAGAGGGGAAGCATATTTGAGAAGAGAAAGGAGTGTAAATTTACAATTTTATCCATGTTCTTAACGGAAATGTTAACAAAGGATCATTCGTGGAAATGAATATAATAATTGGGGACTAAGTTAGTAATATTTGATATATAGAGACTAAATATGTAAAATACTCCCTCCGTCCTAAAACTTTCTTCCCAGAGCACTATTCCAACTTCACGGGAATCTATATTTATTTGTGCTTTTTCATGGCCTATATGATAAAATAAAATATTCTTGTCACCACTTTTTTTGTTGAACTTTTGATGTAGTTTTTAAATATGTATATTTTATTTTTTATTTCTATACCAATATTTAAATAAAATATATTGAAAAAACTTGAGATTTTTCTTCGTTTTGCGCAACGGAAAGAAAGTTTTAGGACAGAAGGAATATCCTATAACTAGGGACCTTTTATGAAATTTTTTAATAAAAAAATCAAAATAAGGAGATTAAATTGCGATGCAAGGAGTAATTGGGAAGGTGAGGAATGTAGGGTGGCCGACAAACATTGGGTACGCCGTACGAGAGCCCTGACGACGACAACAGACAAGCGCTGGAAAGGTAACATGCATTAGATTAGATTACGTTGGTGCATACACATACATAACATATACATACATAGTTATATACTCCGTATATATGCCACCCTTCCGAACCTCCAGTTTCGGCACATGCAACTAAGTAATTAAGTAAAACGTACGGAGTATTTAAAAAGAATACGAACGCCAACGCCCGCACCGGACTGTGGGCGCCCACTTGCAATGAAAGAGGACGATGCCGCAGGAGGTGTGTCCGGTGCCGCAGGCCGAACGCCCCAGAACGTGTTCGGTTTCGCACGCCGCACGGGGGCGTGGGGGACAGCTTGTGGCGGACATTATTGTAATGTTAATCTCTAACGTTATTCCCAAACATTGGAGAAATATTAGAGACAAACTGTAAAATAACAAATAAAGCTTTATTGCTTGAATGAATAGAGGATGAATACAAAACATGTATTTATAGGTGGAGGAATATATTCTAGAATCCTCCACATTAATGACTAATTATATAAGGTAATATTATATAATAATAACTCTAACTATAAAAGGTGATGGGTGTATTTCACCCACGACCGGTCAAAGGAGAAGGCCAAATCTTTGACCGGTCAATCTCGAGAGTTTTGGAAGGGAGACTTAAATCGTCAGCAAAACGACATATCATCGGCCAAAATATGACCGGTATACTTCACAAAAAAGTATACCGGTCAAACTACGTTGTCATCCTATTTATTCCAGACTTCGATAAATTCATCCCTCGGAGATTACCCGGTGTAGTTTTTGGGGTTGGAAAGTGTCGGCAGAAGAGGATCTGCTAGGGCTTGGCGTGTAGCGACCCGTGTCAGTAGAGGACAACTGGAGATGCTGAAGAATCCATCCAAGGCGCTACTCGACAAAGGGAATGATCCCCCTCACAAGGCGACAAGGCAGCTCGAGGGCGAAACCAGTCACCTCGCACCACATCAGCAGCATGCCCCCACGTGGGCGCACGTGGTCCTGTCCCCTTAGCCTAGTATAAATACTCATGTAAACCTCAGAAAGAAGGATCCGAATTCATTCTCTCTAAACTCCCTTGTAAAAGCACCCGTGCGTTCTCCGTTATAATATAAATTGGGCTACAGGTGTTCCACCTAAAGTCCTACCGGTCAATCCGCGTGTTTTTACCTTTCTTACTTTGCCAAATCAAGCAAACTATTCTAGACCCGGCCTAGTATAGTTTGACCGGTCAAGTAATTTACACCATCATTTTTGGCGCCGACCGTGGGACCGTTAAGGTTTCTTCTCCTAAAGCACAAACCTACCCACGAAAACACCACTCGAAATGTCTTCCAGCCAACAGATCAACGCTATTTCCGCTCAGGTGCATGCCACCAACGAGGGTACCAGCATCCCTGCAGCTGCTACCATACCGGTCATTTCAGCTCCGGTGTTGCCTTTGGGTCTAAGCTCTGTCTCGACGGCCAGCGTGATCAGTCCCTTCGCGACCCCCGTCCCTTCCGCTGGACCGAGGGTTACGTTCCCACCAAGCATGGCTCAGTTCATGAATGACCCAGCCAACCTACAAGCCATCCAGGGCTTTGGCCAGGTCATGGCCATGTGCCAGCAGAATGGGGGGATGCCTTTCCTCCCTGGTATGTTCCCGTTCGCTCTTCCAGGCGCGGGAACCATGCCCCTACAAGCCCCGATGGCGGTGACGTCGTTCCAGACACCGGTGCCGCAGCCATCACCTTTCCAGCCCCAGCTGGTCAGCACCATGGCCCATGTCAACTTGGCCGGTGCACTTAACGCTGCAGGGCCGTCGCGTCCCCCGCAAGCTACGAATCCGCAGATCACTCCTGACGGTCATTGCGTTTCGATTGAGAGCGATGACGGCGAGTGGGACATCCCGAGGGCCCACAAGAATAAGAAAGGAAAAAACATCGGGCCAGCGACCTCCCGAAACTCCGCCTTCGAAAGGCTGGGGGATAGGGAGGAAGGCCAGAGGAAGTCAGCCAAGTAAAGGCTGGGGCAGAGCGTTGCCCATGTCAGCGCATTCGCCCGGCTAGGCGAGGTGTGGGAGGCCGAGCCTGCCCGCACCCGGCGCTCCCGGGTGCTTGAGGACGAGGGCCTCCCACCAGGAAGGGGAGGCAGAAAGCCAGCCTAGGTTACCGGTGGCGAACCGGTTAACCATCCCAAACGACCGCGTCCAGCAGATGGAGGCAAAGCTGGAAAGGCTGGAAAAGAAGGTTGGAGAGAAGAATGACCGGGACAAACCCCTGGCAGGGTCCCCGTTCACCACAAGGGTCCATCTGACACCTTTCCCGCGAAAGGTCAAGATCGACGCCCCCAGATTCACCGGGAAGGAAGATCCGGAAATCCATCTGGACTCCTTCAACCAGAGTGCGACCAGGAACGGTTGCACCGATGAAGAAAAGTGCCTTCTTTTCTTCCAGACCTTACGGAACCGAGCCACTGAATGGTTCAATAAGCTTCGCCCGGGAAGCATTGACTCGTTCAAGGCCAAGTTCCAGGAGAATTGTACTGAGAGGAAGAAGTTCACCTATCTTAGTACAGCCGGGCAGAGGGAGTCTGAGAACCTTACTCAGTTCCTTACCCGGTGGAAGGAAGAGGTGGACAAGGTGGAAGAGATGGATGACAAGACCGTCCTCTCCCTCCTCTTGAATGGCTTGCGTGCTGGGGAACTATACAAGGAGTTCTGCCGGAAACCCCCAGCCACGTACCAAGAGGCCTACCATACTGCGTGGGAGTTTGCTGAGGCTGAAACCCAACTCCGGGCAAAGAGAGAAGCTGAGCATGGTCACAAGCCCAAGCCGTTACAAGTCAAGAAGGAAGAAGTACCGGGACCTAGCCGGCCGAGGCACCACTATGACCCGGTCATCTGAGTGGTCAATACGGAGGAATGCCAAAAAGTCTGGAAAGCACCGGTCATTCCTCCAGAAAACCCTACCGGTCAAGTAGGGCGGCAGTGGTCGGGCACCTATTGTTCGTACCACAGGTCAAATTCCCATAACACCTCCGAATGTAAGAGTGTTAAGGGGGTAATCCGGCAGATGATCGACAGTGGAGAGCTGGGCAAAGATTACTTGCAGAAAGCCCAGGAGAAGAGTCATCAGTGGGTTAGGCCAGCTGCCCCAGTGAACGACTGGGACAACGACCGGCGGAGGAATAACCGGCCAAGGGAGCGGCAACCTGCTCCCGAAAAAGAGCACATCGGCATGATCTTCGGCAGACCCGAGGGTGGAGATTCAGCCGCGCAGCGGAAGAACTGGGTCCGGAGCATTTACGTTGGAGAGGTAAGTGCTGAACCGCCCAGGCGTAAACATACTAGGAGGGAGCCGATCGCCTTTACTGACCGGGATCTCCCTCCTACCGGTGAAGATCACAATGATCCATTGGTCATCACCATGGATATTAATGGGGTGGATGTCGCCCGGGTACTTGTTGACACCGGCAGCAGTGTCAACATCTTATACCTAGAGACCTTCCAAAAACTCAGGTTGTGTCGAACACAACTTGAACCCCTCAAAACCCCTCTCTCAGGCTTCACGGGGGACACCGTTGAAGCTGAAAGATCCATAGTTCTACCGGTCGAACTAGGATCAGGTGAAAAGACCGTGTGGAAGAAGATGCGGTTCATAGTTGTGGACATCAAATGCGTCCACAACGCTATTCTTGGAAGGCCAGGCATCAATAAAGTCGGGGCGGTGATTTCCATGCCTCATCTATGCATGAAGTTCTACACTCCAGGTGGTGTGGGTGAGGTGAAGGGCGACCAGAGGAACGCCCGGGAGTGCTATGCCCGGGCAGTCAAGAAAATGACCAAGGGGGTCAATGTCATCTCCCAAGAGATCACAAAGGGAGAGACCCGGGAGAAACTGGAGCCCGAGGCTGAGACGGTGGAAATCGAACTTCACCCGGGTGATTCTTCGAGGATGGTCAGAATTGGAGCAAATCTCCCCGAGGATCTCAAGGAACAGATTACACGGGTCCTCCAAGAATACGCGGGCATATTCGCATGGAGCGTGGCGGATATGCCCGGGATAGATCGCTCTGTTATCTGCCACCGGTTGGCCGTGAGGGAGGGAAGTCGACCGGTACG